GCACCTGAGTTACTTTGTTCTAACTGGGTCACCCAACTAGAGGTTATGGTCTAAAACCCAAAGGCTTGTGACTTTCTCTTGACATTGCTCTTTCAGCAGCATTTCAATGTTTTTATTAGGGTCATTCATGCTGGGTTTAAAAAGAACCAGAAAAGGGATGCCACCTAGGAAAGCAAATGACTTCTGGCATCTGTAGGTCTTCATCTTCCTTCAGTTTCATGCAGTCCTTCCTCATAGGCTATTTCCATTCTACAGATAAGGAAAATAAGACTCAAAGTACGTAATCTGCAAAATCCAGGATTAGATGCCCTCTACTGCCACCAGGCCAGGCACGAAAGGAACTGGAATGGAAATAGAATCCAAAGCTGGAAATAAGTTTTGGAGGCTTAGCCTGGGAGCTCCTTTCTGAGCCTTCATCCACGCAGTGGACGGACAAACCTAAGATATGTCTAGCCGGTGGGACGTCCAGAATTAAAAAGAGACATGCTAAGGAATACCATGGGATGACTTAAATTGTGCGAAGTTCCCAAGTACAAATCTTATACTGTAGAGAGTAACAAAGGAAAATTGTTATTTAATGCAAACATAACCAAGAGCCCGTTCACGGTCCATTCTTGGTGTTTACCCATAGCTAGCCACAGGGGGACGTACCGAACTGAGGCAGAGCTTTCAAGAGAGCTGCTTTCAGGTACAGCTATCTATCTCCACACACACACATTCTTAAAAGTACTTCCAACAAGTTCTTATTGTAGACGTTATTCCATCTCTCATTTCTCTCTGTAGTTTTGGTCTTCCTTTCAGGAAAACTTACATCACCGACTGCACTCAGGAACAATTTCTTAGTAATAGGCATGACTATTGGTTAATCCTATTATTTTATTCTTTTGTCACCTAATAAAGAACCTCAAAGGCTTTAAACCTAGGTAACTTACAAATGTTTTTAGCATTAGGGAAAACCAAGGCTGTTAAGCATTCCTTCAATCTCTTCGGAAGCCTTAGATCTCTAGCTTTAGATTCGTCTTTAAAGTACAATGCTTAGCGTCAGCCATGCATACGGAAGGGTCTCGGGCACATACCTCGGTTGCAGGCTCAATCCCTAGCCCCTGGGTCAGGCGAATTCGGGAGGCAACTAATTAATATTCCTCCCCCCTCCCTTCCCCCACTGTCTCTAAGTAAAAATAAAGTACAATAACTAGTTTCCATACTTTTAAGTTCTTTACGCTTATGACTCACTGTGAATGAGTAGAAATTTGAGGGGGGAAATAAGCAGTGAGTGAACCAGTGTCTGTTTTTTATGCTAACAGATTCACTAGTAATAATTATACCTATTCCAGGTCCCTAAACCTAATTATTCTATCTAGCCTTTACTCTTGTTGCTAAAAACTTATTTTGCAAGGAGATTCCTTTGTTAAAATCCTTTATAGAAAGAATTACATATCGTTACATATCATAATTAAGCTGCTAACCAAACCAAGTTTTCTTCAGGGTCTCATCTATTCTCCAAGGTTAGAAGATGGAATATTGTCAAGTCCCTCCCAGTGTGTTTGCCTGATTCTATAATAGATTGTTCACATTGCAGATTATCCTGTGGGGCTGCACTCAAGTCCCGGAAACACAGGCCCACGGGGTACCTGGAGCCTCTCCCTCAACACTTCCACCAGCAAGAAAACTCCCACAGGCATGAGGGAAAGGCAGACCCAGACTTGGAACTATAATAGCTTAAAGTGTTGATGTTGGCTGACATGAATTTCCTCTGCCAAAGAAAGCCTTCCAAGTAGATTACTTTCAAGGTTCTGAAAAATCCTGACCCTATGATGGGTAAAAGTTAAGAAACTTATATTTACTGGTTATTCATTTATGCTGGAATTGTAAATTCCAGAACACACCCAAATAATTTAACTTCCATACTCTTGGAGACTAATCCTAAAATGAACAAGGTAATTCTGGCAAAGAAATTCTAGGGCAATGATTTTGCCCACTTTCAAATCTATATATTCCAGTCTTCTAGCCCAATCTAATATCAACAATGAAAAGGTTTACTCTGTGTATAGTAAATACCTCTAAGTATTAGGAATGAATAGAAAGATCTTTATTTTTGCTTGTTACCAATGGCAACAATTTACTCCAGCCAGCATCATCAAATCAATTTCATCAATGGAGTAAATATTTTAGTCAGCAACAAAACCGTAGCAAATGAATGTTAAAGATGGGTGGGAAATGGAGGCTTACAGTGAGGAGTACATGAAAGTTTCTTCTTTTCATACGGAACGTAAACCTACTTTTGCCTACCCCATTTATGTACTTTCATATTAGGAAAATAAGTTCACTTTATGTATTTGGTGACTAAAAAGACAAAAACATTTGCCCTACCACTGTGGCTCAGTTGGTTGGAGTGCTGTCCTGTACACCAAAAATAGTGGGTTCCGTTCCGGTCAGGGCACATACCTAAATATGGTTATGGGTTCATTCCCAGGTTTCAGGTTTAATCCCCAAGTGCAGTAGGCAGCCGATTGCTGTTTCCCTCTCACATCGATGCCCTCCCCGTCCTCTCTTTCTAAAGAAAAAAAAAAAAAACCCTCAACAAAGGCTAGAAACGAAATCATCTGGATTCAGGGTGTTAGTTAACGTATCATGTAAGAAGTCATTTTGTGCCCTCGCTGGTTTGGCTCAGTGGATGGAGCGTCAGCCAGCCTGTGGACTGGAGAGTCCCCCAGGTTCAATTCTAGTCAAGGGCACATGCCTGGGTTGCTGCTTGATCCCCAATAGGGGGTATGCAGGAGGCAGCTGATCAGTGATTCTCTCTCATCATTGAAGCTTCTATTTCCTTTCTCTCTTTCCCTTCCTCTCTGAAAATCAATAAAAAAAAGTATATATTATTTTAAAGTAATTTACTATTTTATTTATAATAAGCTTGATAGTTATGATTTATGGTCAACTATAAACATGCAACTAAAAAACACCTTAAACTAGGTTAAATCTAATTTTACTATAATGTGACACCATTTAAAGGCTAAATTTAGATATGAACATAAGTGACATATTAAACATTAAAAACACACACAAAAAAACCCAAGAACACAGGTAGCTGGAGAGGGGAATTTTGTAAGAGGAAATATTCAATTTTGGTAAATAGTATCTTCCAGTTTAAACTAATGATTAATGAAAAACACCAAGGAGAATACATTCAAGTTAATGGAAACAAGTCTTTATTAAGTAACTTTTAATATCAGAAAAATAAAACTCTTATAATTCTCTTTACAGCAAATATATAATATCAGTGCTTTGGCCATCTTAAGTTAAAGGCCCTTTATCATAAAATATATGGTTTTAAACTTTACTCAAATTGAATTTATAATCCCTATAACTTCCCTACATATACATAACAAAAGAGTAGTAAAATTAGCAAATACTAAACTATATTGATAATTTATCATTCTTAGTTTGTGGTTTCATAAACAGTATACGCACCTAATATATATGTCGATTCCTTGGCTTTAGTTGCAGTGTACAATGCAACAAAATACAAAATACATGCTTGGCGAACATTCGTTCATATCTACAAGACGGCGCTAAGGATTAGGTTTCAATACTGACATTTAACTATCCTACAAGCAATTAGCATTACATCATAATATGCCATCAAGGCAATTTTTTATACTGAAAAAAAAAAAAAAATCAAAATAAAAACCGTTATTTGTAAACTTTTATACGAAATGTAACTCTTCAAGTGAAAATAAAAAATAAAATTTGTCTATGTACTATTCAATACACATAGGATTTCAATTTTTGTTATACTGAGAAAAAAAGCGCTCCTTTTTTTTTTGGTTGGGAAAATAACGCTTCAAAAAATAATTAGTAGAAAAACCCACCAGTATCATTATCATGTTTTGTCCTTTCAATGCCAGCATAGATTTGGGAACATTCTGAGGATGAAGTTGCAGACATCCACAGGTGAAATGTAAAAGTGTATCTAAATCTTCCCTTGTGATTAGAAATAGTTTTGAAATGAAGTAAACTGATTGGAGGTCATCACAGCTGCTTTTATGAATTATACTAAGGGCATTATTTTCCCTCTCTCCCTCCCCCCTTCCCTAAATTACTAAAAAATAAAAATATATTTATAATGTGCAAGACAAATATGGATTGAACATAAAATGTTTCACATTTTGATCTAGAGTCTTAATATTAATCAATAGCTTGATTAGACTAATGAATGGAATGTTCGTATCCTCAATTAGTCAATATAGGTGAACCCCAAAACCCTTCCTGAAATGGGAATACCCAGGTGACCATTTCCACATTCACCAAGGGAGGCAATGGGTAGGAATTCACAATCGACACAATTGCCACAATTGCATTCCTGATCCACTGATCATACCAGCTGGGCGAGATGAAGGTCAATGTAGCAGTTTTTGTCCCAAATTATAACCAGTAATTGAGTAAACTGCCACCAGCCCTATTATTACCAGTAATTAAGTCACAATGCACTAGAAAGTTACTTGCAATCCTGCAGAATTAGGCCTAAGTTGTTGTAAATAAAAAACAAACCTGTTTTGTCAAAACTGGCAGTGTAAAGAAGGCAGCCCTGGAAGTGTCTGAGTCATCTGTAATGCCAAGCACCCTCCATAAACTCTTAATGTGGTTAGGCTTTGGGACCAGTTCTGAAATCTCAGACGTATACACTTTTCTCGTAGTCTCACACAACCTATGATGATCTCCACTCAAGCGAGCTGAACTTTAGCTTTAGCAATTCTTACACAGGCTATGTCTCTGGGTCTATAGGATAATATTAATAATTCAAACCAAACTAATAGACAAGAGACCACTTAGGTTTAGTGTTACCATAGCAGCCTTTTATAAGTTTACTAACAACTTTAGCCTAATCCCAATAAAGCCTGATAACAGTCATAAGAATTCATTAGGAAGTTTACTGGGGTACCATTATACCCATGCCTTTACGAGTCCATATAGAGATATAGTATTTATGTATATATATATAGTTAAGAGTGAATTTGGATTGCCTGAGTAACAGCTGTCTGGCAAACTGGACATGATGGCGTTCTCTTTTCACAGATCTTGTTGGCACATTCCATGCAGAAGAGGTTGTGGCCACATGGAACTAGGGCAGCGATAACTTCATTCTCAAAGCAAATCACACAGTCGTGCTTTCGTCTTGATTCTGGAGGTGAGCTAGAGGTGGAACCACCGTTGGAAGAGGAGTAACTATTGGTACCATTAGAAAAAGCAGGGATGTATATTGGAAGGCCAACATGGTTGCCTGTGCTAGGTGGGTCGCTCCTAACCCTCCGAGCAAGTGGGTGCTCGATGCTCTCCGGGAAGGTAGGAGACAGACGAGGAGTAGATGGCTGACTTCCTCTACGCTGAGTCTTCATGTTACCAGAAGGATCACTCCCAAAGCCAGAGAGTGGGTTCACTGGTTCAAACGGAGTCCAGATAGTTTGCGCAGATGTTGGTAAAGAGTCAAAGGCAGGAGAGTCAACTGCGAGATCTTCTGAGCCTACAGACGGCAGCGCGTCTCCAAACCAAAAGTTCCCTGTGCTGAACGGGCTTGTTGGACTAAAGTCAGCCAGCCTATTGCTTCCAAAGTAGGAATCTGTGGAACCACTTCCCAGAGAACTGGAACTATCGTTGCGGTAGTTGGATATCATTCTTGCACGGCTGGGAGGGACTGGATTGGAGGAGAGCCACGCGGAGCTCAGCGTGCCGCTCTCGAAGCTCACGTCGGTACCGTTGTAATGGAAATCGTTCTCTTCATTGAGCTCAATGTAGTTTCCTGTGCGCATGGCAATATGCATTTCTATTTCTTCTCGGGCTCGGTCAACGTTTTCAGGCATCCCCGTCACTTCAAAGACAGGCTCCTTATCTCTGCTCGGAGTTACTATGTATGTGTGCGTCTGCTGCTGAATTCTCTTAATAGTTGCTCCTTTGGGTCCAACTACTAATCCTACCACTCGATATGGGACCCTCACTTGAACGGTGGTTTGGCCGGGCAGATTAGGGCTTGACAACCCTCCCAGGGCAGGGCCGTTCTTGTTTCGAGAAGCACGGATCATGGAGAAGTGCTCTGCAGCGGAGAGGATCTCTCTTTTGGCCATAGCGACATCTTCTTTCCGCCCGGTGACAACAAAAATGGGCTCTTCACCGCGAACGGGTGTCTTGATGTATGTATTTGTCTTGGCTCTCAGTGCTTTAATTTTACAACCTGTTAGAAAGAAAATACGCCATAAGAATCAACATCTACTTCAACAGCACTGATCAAGACAGAGCAGAGTGCTCCTTCTCAGCCACACATCTGCTCTGGGCAGCCAGAGCACTCCATCCAGCAAGCTATGCTAGGAGTGGGCTGACCGCCAAAGCTTAGTTTACCCTGCAGGGTACTGGTGGCAAAGAAAAACCATTAATGCATATTGACTATCTCATCTAATCTACACAATAACCTGAAGAACTAAATTATTATACTCCTTTCACTGAGAAGGAAAATAAAGCACACAAATATTGTGTAACTTGTCCATGTTCACACAGCTAGTAAGTGGCAGAGCCAGAGTTAAACCTACTCTGACTTAAAAATCTACTCTCTTTTGTTAGTCCATGAACTTCAAATTTAAGACACCATACGACACCTTCACTTCCACTCAATTATCATTTTTTTTTCATATTTTATTGATTTTTTTTTTACCCCCCTCCTTCCCTCCCACACATCCTCTCCCTCCCCAGAGTTTTATGTCCATTGGTTGTACTTATATGCATGTATACAAGTCCTTCGGTTGATCTATTATCTCCCCCAGATCTTCCTCCCCTCCCCACTGTAATTTGACAGTCTGCCTGTTGCTTTACTTTCTCTAACTCTGTCTCTTGGTTCATCAGTTTATAAAGAGCTTTATCGTCCACCAATGAGTGAGGTCATGTGGTGAGACATATTTGCAAATAATACCACTGATAAAGGTTTAATCTCCAACATCTACAGACAGCTTATACAAATAAATAAAAGGAAGATGAATGATCCAATTAAAAAATGGGCAATGGACCTAAATAGAATATTTTCAAAAGAAGACAGAAGGAAGGCCAAAAGGCACATGAAAACATGCTCAAAGTCACTAATTGTCCGAGAGGTGCAAATCAAAACAACAATGTGGTACCATCTCACTCAATTATCATTTTAACATTACTGTTTCCTCTGTAAGCTCAATTGGTGACAATAGGATAGTGCTCATGGCTAGTAAGTCATTTCACGTTTGCTCCCATCAGCTGAATTATTAAGCTTACTAAGTTTCAAATAAATCAGTGAAATATGAATGAAAAGACCCTGATTTGCATGAAAAGTCGATGAGGTAAAAAAATATAAAATTAACTTTGCACTCACTATAAAACTCTTGCTAAATTCAAAATAAACATTGGAAATTGTATGGAACATAGGCATTGGATGTGGTTTTTATTGAAGAGGAAACAATTCTGGTTGGCAGACCCATTCTCAAACAGAAAGTTTTGGCTCCAAAGCCCAAGTATATTTAGGTTAAAACATCTAAGACAATATGCCTAACTACTTTAATCAACTTTTTGGAGTACTCACCCCTTACAGTGCCAATTGTGTAAGATTAGAGGGCTTCACACTGTAACTTAACATGTCAAATACACCACCACAGCATATAGCTTTCCAAGACCTTAACATGAAAATTACCAGAGTAGATTTATCCCATGATGTAACATGCCATTTCTAGTTATTCAAATAAGAAAGTCAGGTGCTGTTGAAGATAATCATCAAATCTGGGCAGGTCTTTTTCTTAAATTTTCTCCTTTGAAACCTCCCCAAATATATTCATAATGTACTAACGTCTTTATATACATCATTTCTAACCTACATAACTGTAATAGTTTTACCTAACACGTCTCCTTGCCTCCAATTTGCCAGATTTCAATTTACTGTCTATGTTCACTTCAAATTGTGCTCATTACCTGAAACCTGAGAACCTCTCTCTAGCTTTATCTCTTTAACTCTTTTCCCCAATTCCCACTTAAGCTCTGCAGTGTGCACTACCACATAAGACTCCCATCCATGCACCTTCTTGCATGACTAGAATGTTCTTGTCCCCGCCTCTTTACCTCCCAGTCTGACTGCTGACCTCCTGCCAGCCACTCTGGATTTTACTTTAGATGCCTCACCTTCTAGCTTCCTCTCCCTGAGGGCTGTTTATGTGCCATTCCTAAGCATTCTCAACACAGAGTAGTTTGACTGTTAGTATATATGTCACGGGTGGCCATACATTTGTTGAAACAAAGATCAGCGTTTTTCTATATAACAATACTGGGCCTTTCTTATACATGCTGCTTTGTAGCTAATCATTTTCTGCTGAGCTTTTCAAGATTTTCAGATTTGACCTCACACTACTAATCCAACCTTTTTGAAAGGAGTTCATTTTGCTGATTTCAATTGTAGCATAATTGACTTCCCTGCAACTTTCAGATCTCCACCACAAATGAAGCTCATGTCCTTCCATCCATCTGCAGAACTCCTAAACAGCAGCTTTCTCACTGCTGGATCCTAGGTCTCTATCATGAAAACACTGAGAGTGTTTTTCTAACCTGAAGGCTATATGCCTTGGAAAAGACTTGGGGCTGGTGGGGCGGCTGGGTGGCTGGATGAGGGTGAGGAGCCAAAGGGCGGAGGTAGCTTAGGGGCTATGAAGAAATTACTACAATGAGTCGAAATATGTTACTGTAAAACACAATTTTTTTATTATAAAGAGTGCAGCTGTAAATTTACATCTATAATGAACTACCAGATTACATGGCTAGTGAACCTTTAAGTATAAGAAAACATCTTTGCTCCATAATATAAAATTAACTGGAAGACCAGAGCAGTACAACTTTCCCATCTACATGACATTTCTACAGGCTGGTTCTTCAAGAGACGCCCTCAGTTTGCACAGCAGGTGATGCAGAGGGTAAGAACTGAAACTACTTCCCACTGGACAACATGTGACTGATAGAGATGGCTAAGAAATCCTGAAAAGGCTTATGTAAACACATGGCTGTAACTGTTCACACTACACACTCAAGGGAGTTAGAATCACATTCCAAACAGAGGCGTCCTGCAGAAAAGATCATCCTGCAGAACAACAGTGGCAATTTCTATTAAAGATAAAGGGAGAATTGATCAGCAATCAACCACCAGCTGCTGCTTAGAATACTTTTTAATACCTAGTAGGCATGTTATTAATCAAGAAAATATGCCTAAAGACACACAGAACACTATGGCCTATGGTTAGATCTAATAAATAGGTTTTTGATATATGGCTCATTAGGAAGACAGAAGGTGAACATTTTGAGCATGGACTACTTCTGAGATGGGGGAGTAAATAGTCCTTATACTGCCCAAACGTGCATGTGCATACGTTTTGCAGATGAGGGGAAAAGTGATAACAGGGAGATAGCAAAGCCAGCTCATTTTAAGCTACTGCCAACCAAAAAAACCCCAGAGAAGTATTTCTTCTCTCTCTACAGTGAACCTCATCAATCATAACCTTGTTTCTACAGGAAACATTTAGAGTTCTAAACAACCAGCACACGATTTCTAGAATACACATACATTCTAAAGGTGGGGTCAATTTGAATTGGCAGACTTCTAAGTAGGTGACACAAACTAAAGGAGAAAAAAATCATTTTATTATTTTACATGTGGAGATAGAAGCTTTTTTTATTATAGATTGTTTACTTGAAAATTCAAAGATACCAAAAAAATCATAAAAGAATAAATAGTCTCAGAACAGCACAAAACTCAGAGCTATAAGAGTACTGATAAATTGCACTTTAAGAAAAATCATTGCCTGGCAAAAGTCACCCTTAACAAAGTTAAAACATTAATTATTTACAATTCATACTATAAATGGCTAATTTTTTCTCTTACACACATATTCTACCCTACATATGAAAATACCAAAACCCAACAGAAAAATATGTAAAAGAAACAGCTCACAGAAGGAAATATATAAATGGCTCTGAACACAAAAATTCCCATTTTCATGTGAATTGAGGTATAATTTTCTGCCTGTAAGATCAAAAACAGTGCTAGGAATAAATGGTAAAAAGACCCTCGTTTAACTGCCGAGAGAATAAGCTGCCCAAGGGCACTTTGCAATGTCTATCAAAATTACAACTTCAAGTATCCCTCTGCCCTTATGATTCCCCTCGTAGAACTGATTCTGTAGAAATACTTGCATAAGTGCAGTGACCTTTGCATTATATTATGCACTGTTTGTATTAGCGAGGCTGGTACAGCCACATAATGGAATACTGTGCAGTCACAAAACTAGGTGACTTAGGGGGACAGCATAGGAAGGAGGCAACTTCCCTTGTACACCAATTTTTATAAACTTTGAGCCGTATAAATGATTAGTTTTTCAAAGGTACGATTAAATTAGAATTAAAAAAATAAAATGAGCCCTCTCCAGTTTGGCTCAATCATCCACTGAGTATCAGCCTGTGGACTGAAAGATCCCGGGTTCGATTCTGATCAAGGGCACATGCCTGGGTTGCGGGCTCAATCTCTAGTGGGGGGTGTGCAGGAGGCAGCCAATCAATGATTCTCTACCTTCCTCTCTGAACTCAATAAAAATATATTAAAAATATATAAAAAGTCTCCAATTTACCGCCCCGGTGTAAGAGAAACCCACTTCTTTGTATATCACTGTAGGTGCAGCCAGAATTCTGGTCCTGTCACTCCCTGGAACAGCAAAGGGTTGAGCGCCTCTCCTACCAGCTGCCTCAGCAATTACAGGGGAGACTGGGCCCTCTGTGGCTGAGGAGCTGGAAGAACTGAAAGGATGGTATTTCAGTGTTTCTCAAACCACTACGGGTTTGCATTAGCAACTTAATGGGTTCAATCAGCATTAAAAAACAAACATAAAGCAAAACGAAACCAAAAAACCAAGAACTTAAAAGTGTTCCAAACGTTTCAGTAAAATATGTGTACAGCGGGCTTCAGTCAGAAAAGTGTAAAGCCACTAGACTAGATCATCTTTAAGGCCACTTTTAAATTCCATTAAGCATGTGGAACGGTGTACTTATAAAAAAAGAACCAGATGAAGAATTACAGTCTGCAATTTAAATGTAATTAGTCCAAATCAATTCACATGAAAAAATAGGACGATTAACTAGCTAATCTGGGCAGGCCTTATCTAACCACATGTTTTTTTTTTTGTTTTTTTT